CACACACACACACACACACACACACACACACACACACACATATATATATATATATACATTTATACACACATATATAAATATGAATATACATATATATATATATATATACATATTTGCATATTCGGTCTCATTTTTCGCGCAATTGTAAGCAACTATCACATAAGACATGTGCTTGGACGCTGCAAACGTAGAACGCAAACGCATCTTCTCCAATCTATCGAACAACTAGGCATGTACTGCTTCCAATATTGGTTGGAATGAGAAATGGAACAATCAATTTCAAGGCACAGGCTTATAAACTGCTGCGTGGGTCAACTTCAGTGCTATATAACACAGAAAACAAGTCAAATTACAGCGGCATCATTAAACAAAATGAAATGGCTAGTGAATGCTCGTGTTATTGGCGAGTACAGTGATACTGGGTTTATCGTGTATATGCTATGAACCAGACATCAGGTTCCAACAAACAACCATACGGCAATGATATATTTAATTGAAGTAAGTACCTTATGATATAACTCCAAAGAATATATACTTTCTTCATGTGCCAAACAATTTTTGGGCTAATATGTTGTATGTTATGATATGTTTCTATACGGCGTGAATCCTGCCCGGCAATGCCTTCATATTCATTTGTACAACCACCACACCCACCGCAACAACACTCAGACACACTCAAAGTGCGAACACACCTTCTGTGATTTCCGTAATACACTGTTTAAGAGAGTTGCTATCAATCCCAACTACAGTCTGGATGAATATATTTACACTGAATACATATGTAGTGAAGGGCAGTGAAGAGTGCATGGAAAAGACAAATATTTTAAAGTGCTGAAGCCTGGATGTGTACATAAACAGATCGGAAATCGTGATATAGCAAAGACACTGACAAGTGACAAGTGACCGTGACAAGTGACAACTTTCTGGCACTCTAATAAAAAGACATGACTCATCGTGGATGACATGATGTCATTGATTTGATCAAATAAAATTCACCAGAAAAATACTCAATAATAAAAACATTACAATTTATAATAATACGTCGTTTTTGATAGTTCCCACACTCGTCGCCTTTGACCTTATAAGTTTATTTACTTGCGTGTGTGTTACACTCAGTATATATTGAATATCTCGCCAATCAAGCGCACATATTTAGATAAACCCACCCAGCACAGCACTCAGCAACAACACTCATAAATTCATATCAACCCTTTTATTATATACCATGTCCAGGTTCTTCACATGCATCACCTTTGTCATGGTGATAGCCTGCCTGGTTTTAGTTGGGTTTGGGCTTTTAACTACCAACTGGTTTGAAGGGCCAGATGGCTTTCACGTGGGGTTAGCATCATTGTGTGAAGAGCACGTGGTCATTGTAAAAGGACATACCATAACTTACTGCACGTCGTTTACACTCAATAACTTTGCGAATGAGACAGAAAGGGGTCTTACTGCGGCGCTGGTTATATGCTGCTTCATATCACGTAAGTTCGGGTTATAGTTAGTGCACATATTCATTTACTATACATCATTGTAGTGGAATTTTTGTTCTTGCAGTTATGTACACAACAGACTGGATAGAACAAAAGCCATTGATATTATCCAAAAGTGATCTCGTTGCTGTGTTCAGACTAAAATTTATAAAGTTCGACTCGTGTTTATCTTGTCTTTGTTGTTTGGTGCTGCTTATAGTGGCGTTTGATATACCGTTGCTTCAATGGAGGGTATCTTCCTATATTTATCTTGGTATTATATTAATTGGTATGTATTCATGCAGTTATTTAATTTTCATATATATATATATATATATATATATATATATATATATATGTGTGTGTGTGTGTATATATTATATATATATATA